GAAGTTCGGACTATCTGTGTATTGATTTTTCCACTAGAGTGGTTATTGCCATGGTCCCTCAACACTACTTTGACAGAAACAAATGTTGAGGTTGATGGCTATTTGATCAGCCTTGATCTTGATCCAAAGTAATTTAACTCTGTGTGCTTTCCTATATCACTCAGATTTTCTATTTAGTTGCACCTATCCAATGCAATCACACATGGGTGTACATGTGCTTTCGAGAAACAGTGAGAGAGGAGTTGGATTACACGTACGATGAACCCACTCATACTACTGAGTGCTTTGCTCATTGTACACCCCTGTGGGGTTTAGCTCTTGAGGAGAATAGAAGTGGTCAAGCCATTTTAGTCATCATCGCTTTTTTCTTTATGTTTGAATCCCAACAGCGCTGCTCCACCTGCTCCTTTTGTTTGCAACACGGAAATTCGTTGATTGAGTGTTACCTCCTTATTGCATACATTTCACTTGCCTGTAGTAGATAAAATCACAACTCTGAAAGGGTGTACGCAGTGATGCACGCTACTTGTAAGACAAACGCTGGACTTCTGAACAGCGTTTGCTGAAATCTGGCGAAGTGACTGCTTCGATTAGTATTTACTATTTCATGGCAACATGTCAAAGTATAATCAGGTAACCCTATCCGAATGAAATGATCGTTACTTCATTTGGGGTCTACAAACTATAAGAGCTTGTTCTAATGAGTTCAAACGTCTGTTACCAACCGCTTGCGATTCACTTTGTTCGTTTGTTTTTTTGTTTGTGGTATTTGACTCGGGGTGCCAGGGAGGTGTTTCAGATTTAATGAACCGAATAACTCAGCTGTTCCAGTCATCTATTCGGAAATTATTGTAATTCAATGCCAATCGGTTCTATCTGTTACCTCTTGCTTCGACTGGCCATCTGTTACTGCCATTTGACACCAGTCCTTAACTAACGGTAACTCGGGAAATAAGCTATCTCCAAAGTCATCCATAAGGCCCCTGATCCGGATGGGTTCTTGTCCTGGATGGAGGTTCAGACCAAGATCTTGGAGTTGAAGAAACTCCTCGGTTCGGTATGGGAAAGTGACTAGCTTCCAGCTGATTGGTGTGCAACGATCATCTTGACAGAAGAATTTGTCTGATCAATACCATTCCGACGATCGTGTGCCGCACGTGAACGGTTTATAGAGGTGAACTATGCTGATTTCAGATTTGTTCGAGGTTGTATCGAACGTATTTTCATCTTTCGCTAAATTCCGTTGATCCTTCGAATCACTCGACCGCTTTATGCTCTTGCGTGGCCTGTCCATGAAGGGCGTATCAGAGAATTTCATTTCAATATCATAATCTTTCAACACCGGTTGCCGAAGCTGTGTTCAAGTTACCGGCTACTTTTCGCGCAAGTTCACCGCGGAGTAGATGGCCACGGCGTGCGATATTTGCCTAAGCAGGTAGAGAATGGAAAAAGTTAAGCATGGTCAAGCTAAGAACAGGCATGAGTGTATGCAAACCCTGACCAGGGGACTCAGCAATTGATGATGATCCAATCAGAGCGCAGAAAGAGTCAGAGGGAATTTTATTGTTTCAGGTCACGGGTGAGAGGGACAAGACGATGTGAAACGACGGAGCAATCGTACTGCAAGTCGCGTTAGGCTTTCTGGTTTGGGACCTCTGGATCAGTGTACGCGATTATTAGAGACCCTGGATGAAATGACTGAGTTTCGTAAATTGTTACTCGTTCATTTACTTAGTTTCTTTCCAACTTTATCCGAATTCCGTCTTCAGCATTCTACTTATTCATCGGAATGGGTAGCTAAAAAAACAGGAACCAAAACCATCGTTTCGAGTCTTGACAGGGACACAAATTGTACGCACTGTTGACGAGTCCCAAATAGAACGAAACAGCTGTCCAGTGCTCTTTGTCGGTTATCACAAACATTTTCATCACATTTAAATGATACTATTTTATATTTTCACACACATCTGACTGTGTACCGAAATCACACATCACGGTGCAGTCATCTTTATAGAAAGAAAAGTGGTATGTTATTTACTCTCGGGCGCGAGATTGCCAAGTTCCCCAGGCCAGTGCAGGTGAATTTTCTTAGGGAAATCATAACCGGAGCCTTTGGCTAACCAAATCCTGGCTCGCAAGACAGCCGGGCGGTGTGTGAAAACCGCAATCCATTAGGAGCCGGTGTCCAGCTCATCGGATCATACGCCCATTGGACAGGGTCAGACGTCGAATGTACCAAATACACCTCGATACCCAATCGAGCTAGTGGCCACTGTCACAACCAAGAAGATGTGAGTGAGTGTTGTTCACACTCTTCTTCTTGTTTCGTTTGGAATCAGGGTTTTTGACCAACTCCCCTAGGTGAACTGCCAGTGGTACACCGACCCGATTACAGCCCGGGATATTGGCTTTCCGTCCTTTCACTTTGGTGGAAAATACCTCCCCCATGGGAAGGCAGTGACTAGGGCAGAGGCTATTTGAGACACCCGATTGCATGGGGGTATTTCGCGAGGGGCAAGGGAGGGGTGACCAGTCACAAACCGAGACACCCACCTCCGACCATGCTGAGGCTTTCGGAGGCAAGATAAATAGTTGTGCTAACTGGAACTCATCCAANCTCATCCAAGAAGGTTATATTCATGATTCGGAGGCGAAAGTCCTTTGGTCGCACTCCGATCCACTTGAGTTCCATGTGAAGCCATCCCCACCCTCATCGAACCCATTTTCAGGTCTAGGTAATCCACCAATCGTGTTCTACTGAGCTTGCATAAGGGGCTAAGTTGGATGTGTATCTAACTGATCGGCCCACTGAACAAGCTATCCGCTCGTTGACCGAGTGAGATTTAGATGAGTATGATTGAATCCGACAATAATTGGTCTCGGTTGATCGGCTACCGAAGACCAGTTTCGACAAGGTTGGTCGACTCGCTTTAGACTGTGTTCTGCTGTAAATGTTCTCATTGCCTATCACCACGGGGCTGTATTATCGTACTGGTTTATGACAAAATAAATAAAGCACTAAATCTCCCAGACTATCAGTTTCGAGTTAGTTACAACGCTTGTATTGTATCCCCAATGTTTAATCCGCTCTACTTCGCGTTGTTCCAAATATCCTATTTGTTTGTTTGGTTTTTTTGGCTTCACAGAATGACGGGACAGTTGCAGATCCGAACGCCATTGTCCTCGGCGAAGAGCACACATGGATCAAATTGTTGTACGAATCTGGACTGCGTAGTTCCTCCGGACAGGATGCGAATTTGGATTTGTTGGTGGATCGTAAGTAGCTACAAAAACCCAGGTCGGGTTTTGCTTGTTTTTTTTTCAGTTCATCAAAACTGATGGGCATCTTGGACTCGGTGTATTTGTCGAATTTATTAGCATTGCTCGTTCGAGCTCCGGACTAAATTGGCGTACGCTCACACTCAGTTGAGTGTGTTCTGATGCGTAGAATCGGTCTCCATGTTCCTGCATTGTGGGTTAATACAGTTCGAACTTCGTTTTCTTCATTCCACTTTGTGAGTGCGTCGTCGTAGCAACGTGGGTGGTCAAAACTTAACGAACGGAGTTGGCGGTGTGCTCGAATCCTGTGGCAAGCCTTAGATGAGGCTGTTCTTCCTTCGTGACTATTTTTTGCTCACGAGGAGGAGATCGACAGATTATGATGTTCAGAGTACTACGTGAACAGGTGGTCGGATGTTTTTTAATTTTTTTCATTACATACCAGTGTGTGATAAACAGCAGATGGGGTAAATCTATAATCACGGGGACCTGCTGTTCACTGATGGGAACCGGTAACCTAAGCCTCGGAGTGGCGAACCACATAAGGCCCCGATAAGTTAGGTGTGGTATTGAACCGGACGATAGTAAATCTGCGTACCACCAAATTGTGTGAAATGACACCCGATTGACGTTACAGGTTATTTATTCAACCCTAATAATAATAATGTTGGACCATGACAAATTAAGGTGTCCATTTAGAGTGTGAAACTCTTCGAAATTGTCTAATCTGTGTATCTTTCACATTCCATAGTGATACCTGGATGATCACCATGACATACATTGACTTCCCAGTCTCCTGCTGAAGTGTGGACCGGCGAGGAAGAGAGTTTGATGGGGTTTTCATTAGTCGATCGTCGTATTTGGGGTTTGTGGGACTTGAGAGGGTCACAACATTTTCGTCACCCCCGGTCTTCAATGTCCTTGATTTGACATTGAAAAAGTATTGCACCCCTCCTGGAGTCTTAGATTCTCTTCGCTCCTACATGCACGATCATTACCATTTTTGAGATTCTGGAAGGCAACCAAATGAAAAGTTCAAGTATGAAATTTCATCAAATAACCTTCAATTTTACCGAAAATATATCGGGAAAACAGAATTGTCAAGGCATGGCACTCCCATGGACTTTACCCACTTCATTACTCTGTACAAGACTTCAAATCACGTCCGTATCAATGTTACTCTAATCCCTAGTCAACAATGCGTTTAATTCATGCTTGAGTTAGTGTAGTATTGATGCACCTTCTCGGTAAGAATAGTCTGGATGTTTTTTATTGCGATCTTGTTAGCGACTCTGAGATAAGTCGTCGCTTATTTGGTGATTATAAGGCCCAAGCCCTCTCCATTTTGTGCTTTATCACTTGATTTGTGTATATTGTGAGTTTGGTAACGATCAGTGAAGTTAGCTTCACTGTATCTAGCTGTGCGATGATGGTGATGACACCAAGTTTCACAAAACCTAATTTCCATTTGCCGCTAGAGTAAACGAAATTTCCTTTGTTTCTCTAAGTCACGTGAGTTTCGGTTCGCAGTAGAAATTTTTCTGTTTCTAAATTTGCTAGAGCTTTTCATTTTCTTGTTCCTTCTCCTAGCAATCGTCTCAAATACACTCGTTGTATTGTTCGCACCGAAAAGTTAAACTGAATTGAATCGTTTCATCTCTCGGATACATAACTCACGGATGTTGTGGTAATACGTAGTAATCTGTCCTTACCTTTCTTCCGAGCTTTGTCCAGCATCTGATCCGCTTCTAACTCGTTTTTAGCTATTTCCTGTTCACATATTATGCTACAGTGTGTTCCGGAGCTGTTACACCATCTAGCTAGTTTGTGTATGACGATGATGATCTCACAAAAGGTATCATCTCTAGATTTCTCGTTATCATTAGGCCTCTTCCATCGCGCCGTGATTGGCAATGCCTTCAGTATCTTTGTTTTTTTCTCGGTCACTAGGAGTGACATGAGCAATACGACCATCGTAATCAGAGTTCCAC